AGGCTGGGCCAAGTCCGGGCCAGGGGAAGGCCTCTCCCACGGACCCCTGGGCACCCTGCCCTGGGGAAGGGGTCCGCGCCCCAGCCTCTAGCAACGAGGTGGCGGCGCTGAGCCGGGAGTGAGTGAGTGGGCTCGGGGGTCCTGTGCGCTGCTCCCTATCCGCGCTGAAGCTCGCCTACAGGTTTCGGGCACTTGCTAGCGCGGCGCCCAAACTTTTCGCTCCATCTCCATCTCTCCAAGCCGGGATGCAGTCTCCCTACCCGCGCCCTGGAGTCGGGAGCCCGGGCCCCGCACTCCCTCTGTCGGACTCAGGAGTCCGCGAACCTGACGGCTCGACTCTCGGCGCAGCCTAGCTCTTCCCCTGGCGCCCCGGGTCTCCTCGCTCCAAGGCTACTGAAGTCCTGCGCCCGAAGGACTAATCTAAACTTCGGCCGAGTAATGGGGGAGGAGGGGAGGTGCAGATACACAATCCTTGTCCTATCTCGCTATCGGGAAAAGAGAGGGCTCATAAGGACGCCCCAGTTCGGGAGCGCCCGCGAGTCTGGATCGTGCCCCTGTCAGTTCGCGCGAAGTGGACACCGATCACCCGAGCGGAGTTTTGGGTATTCTGGACCCACACCTCCCTTCCCTAAACGACACTTTTCTCTGCACCTATTCCTTTCCCTTTTTGAAGTCTAGATGCTGTGTGCGGGTGAATGTTTGTTTTCCATCTGTTGCCTTTTTTTTTTTTCTTTGTGGAACTTCTCCCTTCCGTTCTGCCAAGTTCGCCCTTTCGACCTTTTCTCCCTCATATTTTTTTCTGCCCTTACCCGTTCTTGGCCGTCTCCCCACCTCCCCGCCCCCGCCTTTCTCTTCCGTTCTCCCCAGGTTCTTTTGGGTACAGTGGATTTTGATAAAAAGACAAAGGAAGCTATCAGTGGGGCTGATGTTGAAGAATGAAGATAATAATGTTTCCATAGGTGGTGCTTCAAATGCCATTATTTCTCACTGAATATTTAAAGAGATCCCTCGGCAAAGATGGATCAGCGCGCTCCTGGGGTGCGAGCCGCTCGCTTCCCCCAAACCCCGGGGAACACTTACAGAAGCATGTGTAAATCCCGCACCCACCCCCACCTCGCAAACAGGCGTCCTCGAAATCACACCAACCCCACACTCTTCCAGGTACAGGGGCGCTCCCTTGTGCACTTGCGCGTTCCTTTTCCCTGAATGTGCAGGCTTTTGGAGCCGCCCTCATCTGTCTCTAACATTCTTGGCTTCTGCAAATCCGGGCTTCCAGGGCACCGCGGGTCGCCAGGAACCGAGTGGAGTTGGCGGTCCCGCACACCCTTCAGGTCCGCGACGCGGAAGCTCCCGGGGAATAGCTTCACACGTGTTCATTCTTCGCCCTGTGTGTGATTAAGATGAAGGGGAGGGGGTGCTTTTCTTTCCCCGCAAACACCACAACACACAACTGAACGAAAAGAACACGCAAAATCTGCATCGCGCTGTTCGCTTAAAAGTGGGCGAGCAGAGACGAATTAATTGGGGAGAATCCAAACTTTGATAACTTTTTTCGTTCCTCTGCGTCCTCGACGGCGTAAAGGCAGGCGCCTTGCTCTGCGCGCCGCATCCCCCACAAATTTCTTGTTTGTTTTCTTTCCCTCTGTGGCCGGGAGAGGGGAGAAGGGAGGTGGAGGAGAGGGGGATGGGAGGAAGGGGACGGTTGGAATGGCGGGGAGAGAATTGGTCTTTATTGTTGGTGGCAATACATCAATTACTGGCCATTGTCTTGGGCCCACGTTTCGTGGTTCGCTGTTGTAGGCGCCCCGGTGTCAGGGAGCTGGGGAGGCTCCGCGTGCTGGGATGCAAAGAAATAATTAAATCAATAAAAAAGGAGACAGGAAGGGTTCGTTTTATATTTTTGAGCGGGTGGGCAAAAGGCTGGAGTGCTAGAGAGGTGCAGCAGCTGGAAACCTCCCTACGCCTGCTCACCCCTGGAGCCCCGAGGGGGTCGCGCCCTTCCAGTCTTGGATGGGGCAGCTGCTGGGGAAAGCGGGTTGCAGAGGTTCGGATCAGCTCGTTCCTTGAGAGGGCCTGGTTCTTAGGGGCTGAACCGGGATGGGAAACGGGGGTGGCCCGAAGCCAGGCAGCAGCTGCTCCAGGGTCACGACCTTGCGGACCTACAGGAATTGCACCCGGGGGAGGCGCTTGGCAGTTCAGTTGGGAGTTTGATGCTTGTTGGTACCAATATGACCCCTCAGTTTCTCGATCTAGTGAGTCCTCGCTGGGTTGGCGGGACTGGGGCGCTGTGACCCAAGGCCGCGGGCCACGGTCGCGTTCCCAGCGGTGGGGTTTGCGGCTTCTTGGTTCGGTCGCCATTCCTGGAAAGAGGAGGTTTGGAGGCCCATTCCAGGGCCTGGCGCCTCCATCCGCAGCACTCACTGATTCAGGCCCAATCCGGGTCTGGAATGAGGCCTTGCCTGGGTCCTAGACCTTTTTTCCAGTTCGGTCTGCCCACATTGGGTTCCCTACCCCAGAACTGGAGAACCCCTTACCCCTTAAAAAAAACCTAGCCCTTTTCCAGTTCGGTCTGCCCACATTGGGTTCCCTACCCCAGAACTGGAGAACCCCTTAAATGCCCTGCCCGCACCCCTGCTTCCTAAGTTACGGGCCCCAGGCCTCGCTGGCCCCAACGCGAGGATAGGTGAGAGCGGGAGAGGAAGTTTCGTTTTCCTTCGCCCAGCAAAAAGGGGCAAAAAGGCGGCAGCAGCGCCCCGGGGGCGGGGGAAGAGGCTCACCGATGGTATCAACATTATTGATGGGGAAGCCTTCGGCCGGAGCCCGGAGATCAGGTTCCCAGACCCTCCCTCCCTGGAGGTGGGTGGGACGCAGCGGGTGGTGATCGCCCTGTGTTTGGGAATGGGGCGCCTGGATGAGCCAGCAAGCGTTAACTACTCGGGGGTTTATTTGTATTTTCCCAGTCTGGAAACTTGCGGGGGGAGGAGACGGGTGGGGAGGAAGGGTGGAGAGGGTTTGAACTCTAGTCCTTAGTCTGTTTCTGTTTCCTAGGGTTTGGGGTTAGAGTGCTGGGAGGAGAGGAGGGCAGGAAAAATGATACAAAGTTAAAGTCCAAGTTTGGAAAGTCCTCGATAGGCTTGGTTATTGCCGGATCTCTGGGACTACGCTTCCCTGGGAGTTTGAGGAACTCTTTCCCTAGCTCATGTGCCGTCGCTCAAATTCTAACATACCCTCCTAAGCTAGAGCAGTTTCGAACCTGAGGCCTGAGGGAGCAGGCTCCGGTGGGGGTTCCCGCCCCTGGCCGAGTCTACTTAATGTGCTCTTGGCGCTGTCTCTCCGTCTGCTAAGTCCTGGCGGCAGAGAGGCGCAGTTTGGGGGCGGGGGGCTGCCGCCCACCGCCGAGGGCTATCTCCAGACGGGCGCCGGGCGCTGCGAGAGCACCAGGCTCTGGGCGCCGGCTCGGGTGGGACGTGCAGCGGTCGTTAGCGGAGGGTTGGCAGGGTAAGCACCCGCTTTCTCACCCTAGCCGAAGACTCAGCATTGCCTGCGTGCGGCAAACTTCATCTTTCTTCCTTTATGGGCCCATTCCTATAACGACATGGCACTCCGAAACGGACTTGGCTAGCGGCTTGTGCAAGTGCCTGCGATTTTTACTTTCCTTCCACATCCAGCGTCTTGCACTTAAATTCACTGCGCCCGCATGCAACAGTGCCTCGCTAAGGGGTCTTTGGGTATAAACATTCTTCCCAAAGGAAATGTCCCGAGGCAGAGAAAGTGGAAAAGACTAATCGAATTTATAAAAAGAAAACCTTTGCTTCCTTTTGGTTAAATCCCTTTGCGGTTTTCTGAGCGTGAAAAAAAAAAATCAGCACTAATAGACTGTAGCTAATACTTGAAACCTAGTACACACTAGTACTATAGTAGGATGTTAAGAAAGCCTAGCAGGGTGCACGGATCCCTAACCAGCTCAAGAAGTAGAATCTTAAGATCTGGCGAATGTGATTAGTTCTCATTAGCGTCTTCAGCTCCTGTAGGTGTGAGATCTGTGGGGTCCTGTACTGTAGTGTGTGCGCAATTTGGAGGTGACTGGGGGTCTACCAGGAAGCTCATATCCATTCATAAAGGACATCCTCTCAACTGACTACTAGGTTCAATAATTTAGCAAATCTCTTGCAACAACGCTTTTCTCTTTTTTTTTAAACTGCTTTTACTTTTTCAGCAATGCCTTCATTTAAAAAAAAATGGATCTCAGATTTTCAGAGATGTGCACCTTGGTTTTATAATAAGGCTGTGTGCAGGGACACCTGCAAAGATAGATAGTTTGTCCCCATCAGTTTTCATAGGGCAAAGTGTCTGTTGCTTTCAGTTTGATAGAAAAATGAAGTGGAAAGGTTTGGTTTAAATAAGTAAGGATGGATGGGGTGGGGCCTCGAGCAAGGCCCCACCGTCACTCACACTGGTGTTAATTTACAAATCTCACAGATCTCAGATGAGCTATGACATTCATAGGAGTATTTCTCTGGAGTTCTCTCTGCTGACTTCTGAGGGAAGATCTTTCTTCCCCCCTGCTCTTCTAGGTGAGGGCAGTGTGCCTTCTTGAGCCTGCAGTTTGGGTCAGAGCTGTAGCTTTGACTTGTCCCCGTACCGAATTTGTCCACATACTCCTTTTCAGTAGCAGCATGCATTCTTCTGTTTTCAGCTCTGTAATACAGGGGAATGGGGGTGGATAGCCCACCCACGCATTTCTTTTCATCCCCCTTTTCCAAATTGACTAAGTTTTCTTAATTATTGCACTAACGTTTCCCCCCCAAATTTTATCCTCCATCCATTGTAGCAGCACTGTTCAACCTATTATCCAGTTTATGGAGTTGGAAATTTACAGGACTAATATTCTCCAGCTTCAAACCTCCATCTCCCTGCTTTCTTGTTCCTTCTCAAACAGAAGCGACGATCTCTTAAATTGTCACCCAGAAAACATCCACACTCACACTGATGTCAGGAATTAGATCCAACCTTTTCCTCATCTTCAAGTTTATGACGTTTACGAATTTTTGTTCTGTCCGGTCTTTCACTCTGCCACCAATTTCCTTGCCTCCCTGAAGAGACGTTCTCAGGAGCTGGCTTGGGCTGTAATGCAGCAAGCTTCTGCAAGGACTTTGCTCTGGCCGCTGGGCAGGCTGTCAGATACGTATGCTCAGGGATGGAACATGGGGCTATGCCAGCACATTTCTCCTTCTGCAACCAAAACATGATTTCAGGAGAGTTGAAGAATGTTTTCTAGGTTTTATTCCTTTCTTTTCCCCTCCCTCCCTCCCTCCCTTCCTGGACCTCACACCACCTCTAGTTTAAGAGAATAGTAGGTCTTTCACTCTGCCACCAATTTCCTTGCCTCCCTGAAGAGACGTTCTCAGGAGCTGGCTTGGGCTGTAATGCAGCAAGCTTCTGCAAGGACTTTGCTCTGGCCGCTGGGCAGGCTGTCAGGTGTGCTCAGGGATGGAACATGGGCTATGCCAGCACATTTCTCCTTCTGCAACCAAAACAACATGATTTCAGGAGAGTTGAAGAATGTTTTCTAGGTTTTATTCCTTTCTTTTCCCCTCCCTCCCTCCCTCCCTTCCTGGACCTCACACCACCTCTAGTTTAAGAGAATAGTGCTGAGCAAACCAGCACCTATTATCTCAGGCCCCTGTGGACAGCCCCTCTTAGGCTGATCCCAGATGTTTGCAGGGACCTGCTTTATTCCACATGTGCTGTTGGGGCATTAAGAGTGGGTTCAGAGTCAGGCTACTCGGGGTTCATCCCTGGCTGTGTCATTTAACAGTGCCACAGGAACACAGCCTTAGGCTTCCCCGTTCTTGCAGAGGGTAGCCCTGTTCACACTGGTATCACTGCCTTCCACTTCCTACTGCATTAAACAGCTAGTGGAGAAAAAAGATAGTGCTCACCAACATGTAGCAGGAGTCAGCTTTGCCTCTTAGCAGCAGCATGACTTCCATATGCCTCCAACAGTTTCTTCATCTGTTAAATGGAGACAATAATTATCCCTATTTCATAGGGTTCTGGAGGGTTAAAAGAGTTAATATGTATGAAGAATTTAGAATAGTGGCTGGCATGTAATTAGCACAATGTAAGTGTTAACTATTATTATCATTACAGGGTTGTTGTGAGGATCAAATGATATAATATGGTTAAAATATCATTCTCTATTCATCCATTCATCCATTCATTTTCCAGTGTCATGTGCTAAGCATTGGGAATGGAACTGTGAAACAAACAGCGGCTTCCCATTAATGCTTACAGGCAATTAGTCAAATAGGTTATTTCCTGGGATTGTATTATTGCCTGGCTCAGTGTTAGGAGAAGAGGAACAGTATAATGGCGAGAGTAAAGTGGTGCTTGATCATAGGGAGTCTGTATCATTCCATGGGAAGTCCCAACTCATACAGAAATTTGAAACTAGAATAGGTCATGCAAGAGCCCAAATGTAGTTGTGCATGTGAGTCATTTCCAGTCCATCTTTATCCTTCTAGAATTTCTCGAGCACTAATAGACATGTAACCAGGCTGCTGTTCAGGTATCAGCTGGTATTCACCTGGTTGTTTCATGTGGCTCTATTGTGTAGACTCCTCTGAGTTGTGGACAAAACCAAACCAAACAATAAAACAGGTGCTGTTTTTATTTGTGTTCCTGAAAAATATTAACCTCTTATGGTATCTTAGGCCTTGCTTTTCGGGCATTTTTTCTTCTCATTTTGTTAGATTGTAAAAATTCATCCTGATCCTTACAATGGAGCATTCTGTGGTAGCCACCTATCTGGCCCCAGAGACATATCTGGTCTGGATTCAGACTCTGATAATTGCGGCATCCCCCAATTCATTTTCAGTATTATGACCATGTCGTGACCAAATGCAATGTAACATTTACAGGCAGGAGGGTAAGTATTCTTCTGGAACCCTCACCCCCAACCCCGTGCATTGAGCCTAAAATACTTTTTATGGTTGGAGTCTGGAAAAGCAATGAAAGTCTGACCAAAATTCCTCTTAGCAGTGGAGGTGTGGACACTGCAAGAGTGGAGAGCTCATGTGTTCTGTGCTGCACATGGTCTGGCTTCCCTGGGAGGTACCTGACAGCACGTCCTTTCCAGGCTCACAGATGTCAGCAAGTGAAGCGTGAGTTCTCCTTTTCCCCTGCTGCTGGGGGAGCAAACTCGATTTAATCTGTTGCTTGATGTCCTTCTCCTCCACAATAGTGCCTGGAAGCTGTGGGGCTCTACGTAGAGGCTCTCAGGAGCCTGGCAGTATGTAAATTATGCATGAGTGTCCTTCATCGTTCCCTGTGGCCACAATCATAGGGATTTAAACATGATTTAGCATTGCCCATGATTTGTGGCCCGTCACAGTGGCCAGTGCAGTGAGGACAGCCCAGGCTGCTTTCTCACTGTGGCAGTAAGTGGTTTCCATGTCGCAGTTGCTCCTTCAGGTTCAGGCTCTGATGTGATCTATGGGCAAAGCCCAGTGCTGGTGGGTGGCCTTCTAATTATCTTTCTTATGTTAGGGAGTTCTGGGATTTTCCTAAACCAAAGGTTTTATAACTTAAAAAAATGCAGTTCAGTCTTTTTCTCATTCATTTACCCTTTATGTGACCCACTCATGTATTTATTGAGCATCTATTATGTTCTATTTGGTATTTTAGACACAAAGGATTTAATGGTGAGCAAGACAGACAAGTTCCTTGACCTACTGGAAACTGCATTCTAAGGAAAGGAGTAGACAAAAGCCAAGAAAACAGATTTTATGAATTCAGACAATGATAAATACTTTAGAGAACATAACAGTTTGTGATGTGATAGAGAGTAACTTAAATTGGAGCACAGGAAGTACCATTAGGGGATCTTAGCAGATCTCCGAGGAAATGATTGGAAAATTGAGATGTGAATGAAGAGAAGGCTTCAGTTTTGCCAAGATTTGAGGAACATTCTGGGTCAAGCAAAGAGCAAGTACAAAGATCTTGAGATAGAAATGAGTGCTGAGGAGTTTGTTTTCCTTTTTTGCACTTCTTCCTTTTTGTTGTACTTTCAAGACGATTACGAAAATTAAATTTCCCCCTTTAAAGTTATTCTTTTCAACTCAATAGATAAGCCAGATTGCGGAATATTTGTACATTGGAATACTACTCTGCAATAGAAAAGGAATAAACCACAGATTCTTCCCATAATGTGGATAAACCTTGAAAGTAGTAAGCTTAGTGTAAAAATCCAGACCCAAAAGAGTGCATACAGTGTAATTCCATTCATATGAAATGCTAGAAAATGTAGGCTAATCCATATTGACAGAAAGCATTAGTAATTTGGTTACTACTCTGAAATGGAGAGGAGTGGAAGAGAGGGAGAGAGAGGTTGTCTAGGGACACAATGACTCTTCTAGGGGGTGATAGAAATATCTGTTAACTTGATTGTAGCAATAGTTTATGGTTATGTGTTTATTCCAAACCTGGTCAAATTTTACACTTTACATGTGTGTTGTTCAAATTAACAGGTTTGGTTTCCTATTAAAAGATGATTCGAAATAGATATTGTGGATAAAGAACTTAAAGGAGAAAGGGAAATTGTCACTGCTACGTAAGTTTATACCCTAAAGGTTCTCAGGGGCTGGGTCACATTTGATCCAGGAACAAGTACTGGCTAGGATAAGGATAGGACTCATTTGGCATTGAGTCACCTATATTGACCCTGGAGAGACATAAAGTTTTCTTTGTGTTTCTGCACAGTAGTGACTCTTTCTATTATTCTGCCTAGAAACAAAAGGACCCTTGGATGTCAGGTACTACTGTCAGAATTAGAGGTCCTACCCATGGTGAGAGAGAAGGCCACAGCTTTCTTGGCAGATGCATGAGAGGGAATTCAGACTAGACCAACACTACCTGGAACCCCCTAAATGACATGTAACTTAATGACTGGATGGTTATTCTGCTATACAAAAGACCTATTATGTTGAAATATCATTTTTTGTGAAAGACCAGTTTTTGTCCTCCCCTCTCCCAAATCTGTCATACATTAATACTTTTGTAAAATATGATAAAAATATCACTAGAAAAAAGAAATAGAAAAGAGAGATGCATAAAGTATAAGCCCCAAATTGTATTAAAGAGTCAGCAACCATGAAAGTATCTGGCAAACTAGCATTCTTCTCAGTTTGAACTCTCTGTTTCTGTAGTTCTGATGTTGTGAATTGATCCCAAACAATTCATGGATCAAACTGGTTCATGGACCAGAGTTTGAGTAGCCCTGGAATAGCCCAGAACTTCACAGCAACTGTACCTACAGGTGAGTAGGGAAGGGCAAGATAATGCTTCCCTCTTAGGGCTCAGGGTGGCTTTTGGGACAAGGGACAGCCAGAGCCACCAAGGGCCATTTACCACTGGTCAGAGAAGCTTCTTTCTTTTACACAGTGAGCCACACAGAGGTAAGCAGTGGCCTGTGAGGAAAAGGTTAAAAAGTAACGTGGGCCAGTTTTCACAATTGGAAGGGAAAACGCTTAGTAAAAATGTATATTTCTGAATGGGTAGCCCTAATGTTTCTAATAGAGGAACATGCCTTTTCATCTGTACCCTTGTTACACCATAGTTGACTCTGATGTGTGTGTTCCTAGGGCCATGTTTGAGGAGCATTGTAGAGATGAGTAGAGGGGGTTAGTGGTGGAGAGTTTCCTGTGCATATGTACTGTTTTCTACCAGTTATGTTTAAGACCAGGAACTAAACTGAGGGTCACTTTCATCAGAGTTCTTAGCTTCACCAACAGATTTGAATTTAAGCAAGGAAAGAACCTACCATAGGATTTGAGGGCACACATCGTTTAGTAGGGCCAGGGAATCAGTCTTATCCTGTCCAGAGTCATTCAGTCAAGGGCCACTGTCATTATTGCCTATATGGGAGCAGTTGCACTGCTGACCCCATTGGACCAAGACAGCATAGCAATGGGGCAATGGTGGTCATTCTCAGACTTATGACTTCTTTGGAAAAGCAGATTCTTTATCAGTCCTGGCTTCTGAGTTGAAGTCTTGGTGAGGGGCCTTTGGTTGTTGCTCCATACCTCTGCAAGGATGCACATAGCTGCAAGGGAAGCAGGAAAAAATGGATATCTGCCATGTGCAGCTCCTCTTATAAAGGGTGTTTAAGGCTCATGGAATGAGGAGTTCCCAAGCTAGATGAACAAGAAGAATGTAAGGAATTCATGTAGACTCTCCTAGATCCATACTCTATGGAACAGCTTCAGGTCTTATTTCCATGAGGACATTGGAAAACCCACCTTCTAA